GAAAAACTGGATTTCAATTTGCCAAAAATTAAAACTAGACCCCTATCTTTCACCACACACTAAACTAAAATCGAAGTGGATTATGGGGCTGGGGATTTAGTTCAGTAGTTCCAGAGCCTGCCTTGAAAGCGCAAGGTCCTGAGTTCGATCCCTGTTACCAAAAAAACCCAACAAAGTGGATTAAAGATCTAAATATTATGGCTGGGGATTTAGCTCAGTGGTTCTGTCGCCTGCCTTGCAAGCCCAAGGTTCTGAGTTCAATCCCCGTTACCAAAAAAATTTTTAAAATCTAAATATTAAAACAGAAACACTAAACTTGCTGGAAGATAAGTTAGGTAGAACTCTCAAAGACATTGGTATAGGAAAGGACTTTATGAACAAATCCTCAATAGCATGGGAACTAGCACAAAGAATCAACAATTGGGATCTCATCTTATTAAAAAGCTTCTGCACTGCAAGAGAAACTACCAACAGAGCTAAGAGACAACCTCAATGTGGGAAAAAATTTTTACCAGCTGTTCCTCAGACAAAGGTCTACTATCTAGAATATATAATGAACTAAAAAAATCAAACTCTCCCCAAATATAAAGATCCAATTTAAAAATGGGCATCTGAAATGAACAGACATTTCTCAGGCAAAGAAGTAAAAGCAGCAAATAAATATATGAAAAAATGTTCAACATCACTGGTCATTCAAGAGATGCAGATGAAAACAACACTGAGATTCCATCTCACCCCAGAAAGAATGGCTGCTATCAAGAAATCAACCAATAACAAATGCTAGAGTTGGTGTGGGGAGAAAGGTACCCTTCTCCATTGTTGGTGGGAGTGCAGACTGGTGCAACCACTGTGGAAATCAGCATGGAGATACCTCAATGAACTAGGGCTAGAGGTCCCATTTGACCCAGCTATTCCCCTGCGGGGTATCTTCCCAAAAGAATTAAAAGAATCACACCACAGTGATATATATGCACCCATGTTTATAGCGGCATAGTTTGTAATAGCTAAAACTTGGAAACAGCCCAATTGCCCATCAACTGGAGACTGGTAAAGAAAATGTGGCTTTTTATAAAATGGAGTACTACTCAGCCATAAAGAATGAGAAGCTAGAGACATTTATAGCTAAGTGGATGCACATTTAGGCCATACTCTTAAGTGAAATAAATAGGACACACATTTGTAAGTACCAAATAGTTTCTCTGGTGTGAAAAACTAAAAGTGTAAATAAGAATCAAAATATGTAACTGCTATTGTGAAATAGGAAGAAAATGTCTAAAGGAGTAGGGGAAGTGGTAGGGGTAGGGAAAAGGAAAGAAAGAAAGAAAAAGAAAAAATATGAGAAAAGGAAAAACATGGAAACAAAGTCTTTGTAAATAGGGAAGGGTGGAGGGGGTGAAGGGAGCGCAGGGGAATGGGGTTAAAATTAGATTTAAGATACTCATGTAATGGTACAAGATCCCAATGATGAATGTAACTGTACTGTATACCTAAAATGTATCAATAAAATAAATGGAAAAAAAAGTGAGATGGTGATAGATTCTAAAAGCTATACATTAATGAGGGTGATGTCAATCCCAGCAAAAACAAGAAAAACAGAACCAAGTAATTATAGAGACTTGCTATGAGTGAGCTAAAAAGATGACCAGCAAATTCTGTGAATTCAAATAGTCACTAATATAAAGTATAGCAGGATACTCTCATTTGTTTTACTGCTTGGAGAATCAGGCTGTAAGATCAAGAGAATGAAAAAGATATAAAGTTATTGTTTAAGAAGGTTGTATGTATGTGTGTGTGTGTGTGTGTGTGTGTGTGTGTGTGTATGAATACCAGTGAGTAACTTGTGTTCTGTGATAACCTAACTTGGGTAGAGGAAGAAAACAGAGCAAGTATCAGCTAGTGCATAAAGCCTTCATTTGCAAGAATAATTTATTCTGCTTGTAATCCAAAGCCCTTGTACATCAAAGCAGAGAGACAGAGAGAGGAATCAGTGGTGATCATGTGACATTCAGAGTAACATACTATTCATATTGCAAGACATCGCTCTTCATTAAGTTAAAATTTCTTAGAAATGTTTGCTTATCTTACAGAACACTCGCATACCAAGTTACTCGCAATCCAAGGTTTGATTGTATATGGAAAATGTTGCTTACAATTAACTTGCTTAGGAAAAAGAAGTGTACAGTGTAAAAAATGTGTTTTAACTCAGAATGCCCTATGCAGAAAACAAAAATTAAGAGATAACCTTGTATTAGTTATTTGAGACCAAGCCATTAACTTTTAAAATATATTACTCATCTTAATTTTTCTAAGCAATTTAACAATACTTTTTGAAAAGTCAGAGTCCTCTGAGTGAGTCTCAGAAGCACAGAAGCCCATGAGAAATACCTGCATTGGGGAGGATGAGCTGAGATGGACAGAGGATGAGAGGACTAAGTGCACAATAAGGGTAACCTTCATCACTTCCATCACTTCTACTACCAGGCACAGGTACTCAGAAAAAAAGAAAAACACCTGCATCAAAACAGAAACCTGCTTTGGGACAAGGGGTCAGAGAATGGGCGATTGATTGCATATTGGTGCCACTTTCTCCTTTTTACATAATACCCATAATCCCCTAGAAGTCAGATTCTTTTCTTTTCAGTGCCTAGTAAAAACAGTGTCGAGTTTCATTAGATTTCTTAGAAAGGTTAGGGAGAATTTGTCCCTAATAACTTAGAAGCCCTCTAAAACATTATGAATATAAGCAAAGCATTCAGTTTTTGTAAACAAGATCAAGAAATATGGGCAAATTAATAGTATAGGTGGGTGGGCTTATAGTTGTTTAAATAATTCCAACCAGAAGGCACTAAACAATATTAGATGAAAGTTTATCAGACGGTACACTTCAGGGTTCTGCCATCTAGTCCATTCTAGCCAACATTTTTCATACAAGACTTGTATTGGGATCAAGATAGCCAGCTGATTAAATCTGAAGAAACTACAAAGTTAGAAGTAGTTGTCAGTAAAAAGAATGCATACTTAAATACTTTTCTTGGAATTAGGCAAAGCATACATGAGTAGAATGGGAGCAGTGCAGATACGACATGGCAGCAGGATATGTTAAAAAGACTTGGAGGTTCTAATGGACAGAGATCTCAGAAAGATTGTAACAACAATGTTGAAAATAGCTAATGTGATATTATGCTTAATGAACAAAGCAGGATACCCAGGAAAGGGGAATGGTAGTTCTAGGGGCCCCATAGACTCACCCTTGTGGAGCCCGGATATGAACAAGAGTCTTAACACTGACACTGATTAAAATACATACAGAGAAGATCCACCAAATGCTGGAGGGACTTCAAACCACAGACTGAGGGACAGCTAAAGAAACAGGGGCTAGTTAATCTGGAGAAGAAGACATTTTGAGAATGTATGAATGAATGAATTCATCTTCAAATATGTAAAAGAGACTATCAAATGGATGAGGAAATCATGTTCTGAAGGGCTTAGCAGGCTAGATTAGGATTAGTTGGTAAGATTATAGGGAAGCAGATCTCAGTAGGATGAGAGGAGGAATTTGAACTGTCCACAACAGCGGATGTCCCAACAACAAACCCAGGTTTGTCAAGCATAAGCCAGAGGGTCTTATCCCAGAGAGAGAGAGAAAGAGAACTCACATATCAGATAGGGAGTAGGGACAGAAAATCTCACAACTGTAAGAGTCAATGAAATAATTAAAAATATCTAAAAACAGCCTGTGGCCATTATAAACATTTAAATATATAATAGGTGATATATGACATTAATCAAATTTTGGACAAATGTTCAATGAATACTTTTGAACAGATCAATAAATGTGGGATTTGGGGTAATAGAAGTACTTAACCTCAAGAAGTCCTATTTTAGATGAATGCTAGGTAGAGTTAAGCTTATCCTCCTTTCCTTATTATTCAATAAAAACGTTATTTCAGAGTAAATCATTTGCAAACACAGTGTAAAATAAGGAGGGGTTCCAAGTTTGACAACACAGAATGCAAGACAAAGTGTTTAATGATATTGTATTATTATTCCACATTTTATGGGCATCCTGTATGTGTTTTAGTGAATATTAAAAACTAGGGACTATAATCTCCTTAAAGAATAACAATACGAATATTTATTGGCCTTCCTATGTACAAAGCATTTATATGATCTCATGATTCTCAGAGAAAACTTATTTTTACTGATGTGGAAACACAATTAGGCCAATTGAATGACTTTGCCCAAGGTCACCCAGGTATTAACTGGAGTCAGGCACTCCCTGGTCTGCCTGTTAGGACTGTGTTTATTCTTGTTAGTTGCAGTACTAAGTATTTTCCACATCTCATTTAAGCCTCAAAAGGACCTTGAGAGTATGAAGAGTCATTTCCAACATACAGACAGAAGACGAGGGGTTGAGAGCTTAAGTGAGGTTCTCAAGTGACAAACCCTGTAGAAATTTTGACTCAGCTTTACCTGAACCTGAACTCCATACTGACCTATGACTCTCAGCAGCCAAACTGAGTGACGGGGGTGACAGGTTATATGCCATTAGTGTCACTGCTCTGTGTCCTGTCTTTGCCAGCATCACCCAGAGGTGATTATGTTTTCTGGAGTCTAGTATACACTAGACTTACAGTTTATACTGCTTATTTGCTAGACTTGAAAAACTGAAGGTCGGCGCTTTAAATGTTAGAGATCATAAGGGTTTCTCTCACATTTTGTAGGAAACACTAAAAAATGATGCTGCCAGTTTGCTTCAGTGGAGCTGTCTTTATGCTCAATGATGAGTTCTGAAGCTTTATCTGTACTTAAGGAATGTGCAAAACACCAGTTGCTAACTACAATTTCCCCAGCTGACTATCAGGACATTGACAATACTAAACACGTGGCAGACATGTGGTAAGACTAATTTAGCATACATAATTACTTCTCGAGAAGAAAAAAAATCATTCAGAGTAACAACATATCTGAGTTAACATACTAGACTAGAAAGAAAATACCTTTTTCTTGTTGGTAAAAGTTTCATAGGTTTTTTTGTGATATGGACAAAACTCTGTTTGAGTTCCCAGAATGGAAGTTTCCTTCGGGAGGATGGAAAACTCCCAGGAAGAGATTAATGGAATCTTGACGATCTGCATCTAAAAAGCAGAAAGACATATTTCAGAAAATACATTACATGCATGGACCACTTAGGAGAACATCTCAGAAGGATAGTGGTATGCATGTGACTTCATAATACAGGTCTTAAAAAATAAAAGTGGCATTTAAATTTCAAACTTAACACAATATACACAATCTAAAACAGTCACCAAAGAATTGAGCAGAATTAAAACCTTGCTTCAAAATGTTTCCTTTTTGTTCATACCTCCCATAATATAAAGGATAGCAAATATAAATGCCTCTTGAATATAGAAAGACTCAAAATCTTTACGAATTACTCATAATACCTCAGAGACATATTTTTCTTTAAAATAAAAACATATTCTCACATTTTCAGTTTGCCTATGATAAAGACAAGCAGAGTTGTCAAAAACAAATAAAACAACCCAATTCCTACCCATATTCTGTTGCACAACCTTGAATGAGTCAGTTGCACAGTTTCCACTTTCAACCCTTCAAAAGATATTCTTCCTTTCTTTAACAGAGACAATGTTCACATTTTCTGTACCTCTCTGCTGTGAGCCTGGCCCGTTCTCTTTTGTGGTTGATATCAAGATAGCAAGTGCTCATTCTAACTATTCATACTCCAAAATTTCTTTTCAAACTATACTGTGAACTAATACAACTGACTCAACATTTATTCTTCTTCTTTCTTTTCCTGCCTATATTTTGGTATAAGTGATAATTAACACTGACGTAGCCTCACGACCACCTTTTCCATTCTACCATTCTCCTTCCCAGAACCCTCTGTTTATTTCCCTCATTTTCTTCTTCCCACTTTTGAGCTCTGCATGTTTAAACCCAAAATAAATAATAACCTCTTCCCAAAAATCAGTGTAGGACTAAACAGCACAGAAGAAATGACTACTTTGGGAATAAGATAACATTATCATAAAATCAATTTTCTTTCAACGGTATAACTGTTGCATACATCTGAACTTAATAGTGGATTATTTGATCATTTCAGCAAAAGCAAATAAATGAAATATAGTAGACCAAACATGTATTCCTGTTATTAGTATTTTGATAGGAAGAATCCCATTAAGATAGCACTTACCTTTCAGGCTAAAAGTAATATATGAAAGAGATGTGTTTATGTGCTGAACATATTTGGGGCCTTTTGTCCACTTGTTGAGAGAAAACATCAAGTATTAGATGATGCAGACATTACTGCCCCAATTTGCACCTCTGTGTACAATACAAAAGTAAACATGCCGCTCTTATAGTAATTATATTCTTTATGCTCTTTGAATGGCCTTAACAGCACTTAATAGTTCATCCCATGTAATGACTCAAAATATCTCAATACCATCTAAAGAAGCTTTCCATTTGCAGTCATGTTTTCAAGGGTTTCTTTCATCCTTTAAAACCTAATAGCAACTTCCTTTAAATTTTAGCAGGTATGGTGTATCGTAAGATGTGAGAAGCATAACCAAGAAAAGGATATTCCTTCAAAGGATCACAAGGAAGATTTCTTGAATGCACTGCTGTTATTGTAACTTAAAATACATCTGTGATATTATGGTCACGTACTGAGTTTACCCTCTAAGGCCACTCTTAAGACCAAGGATCTTCTTGCTACTTTTGACTGGAAATAAGACAACCTTCTCCAGGAATATGGTAGTACCTTCAAAGTGGGAAAAAGCTTTAAAAGGTAGGTTCTCTGTATTTGTGGATAACAAGTGGGTAAAATGATTACCTGCTTTTAGGCACAAAGGATACAAACCATCATATGCCATTTGAACAGTTAGGTATTAACCAGTTTTATTATTAACAATACTTAAATAGATCAGATATGAATACAAACTTTAATTAGACAAAAAATTGTTTTCATCTCAAATTTTTTGCTCTAACATTAAGTTTGTGACAAAGCATGCTCTGAAAGCAGTAATACAAGGAAATACTATTCAGGAAATGGCACTGTTGAACCATTAGGGAGAAAGAACAATGACATTAGATTTCTGCCTTATATCATACATTGAAATACATACTAGTCTAACATAAGAAGGACACAGATCAGGGCTGGGGATTTAGCTCAGTGGTTTCGCCACCTGCTGCACAAGCGCAAGGACCTGAGTTCGATCCCCAGTACCAAAAAAAAAAAAAGAAGGGCACAGATCAACTCTTGATAGAAAAACAGGTACACATAACTTTCAAAAGAAGCAAAAATAGCCAGTGAATATACAAAATCCAACTTCACTAGTTATCAAACAAATCCAAACTTTCTACATAAATTGGCTTTTTTCTACCTAATAAGTTGGCAAATATTTTTCAAAATGGGCACTTCCACATGCTACTGATGGAAGCATTAGTTGTTTAATTCTTCCTGAAAGGTAATTTGGCTATATATACATATATAAAAGCCCTAAAAAATATTTGTACCTCTGACCTAATAAATATGCTTCTATAATTTTCATAAGATCAAAGATATGCAAAAAAGACCTCTGCTCAAAGATGTTTACTTAGAAGGACTCTAGATGCACAATAACAACTAAATTATGATGCTTCCAAAGGGTAGAGTACCAAAAGGTCACTAAAAAGTCGTGCTGTAGAGGAATATTTAAGGCCATAAAGATTATTCACATTATATAGAAGGGCAAAAGCAGCCTATAAGTATAAATTTCATATATAGCAAAAGCAGCGATCATGTTCTCCTAAATTTGAACAAGTGACTATCTCGAAAATGGCAATTTTATGATTTAGTTGCAAGCTATTCTGTACTTTCTATAATTAATATGTATTGCTTTAGTATTTGAAAAATATATAATTCATCCATTCAAGAACTTACAATGTCCCTTGGGAATACAAGGCTGACTAGGGGCTTACAATTCACAGAAGGAAACAAAAATATACAGAAGTAAATAATGGACAAAGTCATTTCAGAGAATGAAGTTCAAAAGAGAAAACAAAACAGTGACACGAGAGTGCTGAGAGAAGAGAAGGAGATTTAGGTCAAGCAGAGGCTGAAGCATCTGAAGAAAGAACATTTGAACTGTAAGGATACAAAGAAGGTGGTCACACAGAGCTCCAAGGGCTATGCCTTGCCCAAGGAGAAGGACAAACTGCAGAGGCCTGAAGGGGGAACAAGGAAGGCTGGAGGACAGTGGAAATGGGAAAGAGCAGAGTTTTAGAGACAGATGGAGTGGGATCACAGGAAGCCTTATGGGTTGTGTAAGGAATTTTATTTTAAACGCAGTGGGGAAACCTGGAAAGGCTTTTAAAAAAAGAATCAGGTCAGGAGGGATTTTAATTTTTTTTTTAAACCCACTCTGGTTGCTGTGAAGAGTTAGAGATGAATCTGGCCAGGCAAGAAGTGATGATTGTGTAGACCAGTGTGGCAACAAAAGGGGTGAAAAGCAGTGGAAGGATTTGGGATACATTTTGGAGGTAGTACCAACAAGATTTGTTGACATTTGGGACTACAGATGACACCAATGTGTCTGAATCAAAGAACTGGTGTGGTAAAAACAATAGGAAAAACAAGTCTAAGGAAGTTAAGAATTTTTTGTCTCAGGAACCTAAGTTTGAGATTCTTATTAGGTATCTATATGGTAGGAAGAAATTTGGCCCCCATAACCTTTGCTCCCTAATGTCATCTCCATGAATATTTTATATTATCTGGCAAAAGGGACTTTGCAGTTGTAGCTAAGGTTACCAATCACCAACTTCAAGATAAGGAAATTATCCTTGATTATCTGTAATCAGGTGAATCTTTAAAAGGCAGAAGAGGAAGGCAGAGGAAAGCAGAGAGATTCAAACCATACAATGGATTTGACCAACCACTCCTGGTTTAAAAATAGAACAAGCCACAAGACAACAAGTGCAGCAAGTCTCTTGAAACTGGGAGCAACCCCTAGCCAAATTTCTAGGGAGGCCATGGAACACCATCTCACAACAGCATGGAATCCTATCAACAAGCTGAATGAGCCAGGAGTTCTCCAAATAAGAGCCCAGGTTGACATTTTGACTCTTTATTTTTAATGCATTTTGACTTCAGTCTTGTGAGATCTTAAGCAGAAAACACAGCTGAGTAATTCTGTGCCCAGTTACTATGGAAAACTAATACAATATTCAAGAGGAGATGCTAGATAAGCATTTGGATAGGTCTGGAGTTCATGGAGAAGTCAACGATAGAGATAAAAATCTGAATGCCAAATGCATGGTGCTTAAAAGCTAGACAAGATGTCCTAAGAGTAAAAATGTACAGAGAGATTAGAGGGAAGAGGATTTAGAGATAGAGCAGGAGAAAGTCAACAGAGAAACAGTGATGTCACAGAGAGCTATATGAAAGAGGGAGTGGTGAGCTATGACAAAAGTTGTTGAAAGAGTAAAATGAAGACAGAAAGGTGACCACTGGATATGGCACAGTGGAGACTACTGGAACTTTGATAGGCACAGTTTCAGTGTCATGATAGAGCAGATGCCTGGTGGAGCAAGTGGAGACAGCAGGAACACACATGTATGTGGCTCTTTCGAGAGGTTTTGCTCAGGAGAGCAGAGCCATAGACAGCACCTGGAAGGGGATGTGGGATTAGAGAGATGGAACGTTGGATGGAAAACACTAAGATGTGTCTTTATGTTAATGGAAGTGATGGAGTCGAGAGGAAGAAACTAATGGTGTACATTAGATGGGAAAGCAAGAAAGTACGGTCCAAAACACAGGAGGGCTTGGCTTAAGGTGGAGGAGGAACACTACAGGTACTGTTACACGATGTAAGGCATAAACTCTGCGTGCAGATATGGATACGGACAGTTGGTAGTAAGAGGGAGTTCTCCTCCAATGACCTTTATTTCCTAAGTGAAGTATGAAACAAAGTCAGCAACTGAGACTGCTGTAGAATTGAAGAGAGACGACAAGGCATAAGACAGTCATTTTGGAGAGCAGGAGAATCAACATACTAGGGAAATGTAGTAGGACAGTCTGGCTGTTTTGACTGACATTTGGAGAACTGTAATCAGTCAGAACTGAGAGTAGTAACATGTAACCTTTCTCTTATGATGTTTAACTGCTTTGGCTGTAGGAGAGGTAAAGAGAGTTGTTGGGTTTTAACCAGTTATCAATGTTATTTTTTTTTAATTTTTTCAACTTTCAATTACAGGTTGTTCACAAAAATCTACTGTGGGAAGGATGACATTAGAAGGCCATCTTATTATTCTTAGTAAGTTGAAATGTTCTCAGCACACTCTCTTACATCCCCTCTTTCAGTGGTGGCAAAAAGGGAAAGAACTATTGAGGTGTCTCAGACCACTTCATAATGCTAGGTGAAACCAGCTCAGCACCATCTTCTATGAGCGTTTCTTTCTAGAAAGCTTAGAAGTCTTTACCTTATGAGCTTTTTTTTATTTTTTAAATCTCTGAGGACAGAGTCCCACTGCATGCATACACACGCACATTTACTACATTTAACACACACTTGTGAGGCATGTATGTATATGTAGCAAATCTATTATATATTCTACCTATGTTACCAACATATATATATACCTATTAATTCCTAGAAGTAACTTATCTTTTCTTCTCATAATAGAATTTAAATTCAATGAGCTTCAGTAGGAAAATCCAGACTTATAAAATTTGAATGCAAAAAAGAATTAAGAAGAGCTTAACAAGGTCATTAAGGGAATTAAAAGTTCTTTCTAACCTCTGAGAAGTGTGCCTAGCTAGGTACCTATGCTTTTCTGGTAAGCCACCTTCTAACTGTCTATGTAACCAATTATACTAAAAACCAAAAGATTTCTCTGAAGAAAGACAATTTAACATGCTAGTATGTGAAGCCTCAAAAACATGGTTTGTTTGGTTTTTGGTTTTTTGAGGTGAGTTCTCATAGTGTTACCAAGGCTGGCATCAAATCTGTGGGCTCAGTGATCCTCCTGCCTCAGTCTCCCAAGTAGCTGAGACTACAGACTGCACTGCTGAGCCTGCCTTTAAGAAAAAATTTTTAAATGACCCAGAAAAAGGGTTAGGTGAGTTGCCTACATATCATCTATGTATACAAATTAAGAGTAAAATTCCTAACCACCTAATTTTATTATTTTGGTTTCTTAATCAGTATCTTCCTGCCCAGCCCAGAGACATAAAAGGAGACACATTAAGTTTTACAAAGTTATCTTGAGAACTTTAAAGAAAACTGTTATATACTATCATCATTATATAATGCTCACTGTGATTTTAAAATAAGTTGTACATCCTAATGACACCATGCTTCTTAAAATAACGAAGTCTGCTTTCGCTGCATTATTCATAGTACCTTTCAGAGTAGTTCATCTTCCAGTAGTGCAAAATTTTGCCTTACCTTTGCATGGATGCACACCATTTCTCATGACCATCATTATCTTTCAATATTATGCCTTCTTCTTTAATCATGTATAGCTACACATTCATTGTTTTCTAGTCTTATTTAAAAAAACCTTGGTCCTAGCCGGGCATGGTAATGCACATCTCTAATTCCAGTACTTGAGAGGCCAAGGCAGGTGGATCGCTGTCAGTTTGAGGCCAGCCCTGAGCTACATAGTGAGTTCAAGAACTACATAGCAAGAACACCCTGTCTCAAAAAAAACAAAACAAAAAAGCCTTGGTTCTTAAGTGTCAATGGTGATCTTCATTACAGGACAATGATGACAGGAAAAGAGTAGAATGGCTACCCCTTCCATAAGGGCAGTCCTAAATCTTTCTTAGGGTGACATACATCCACAGAGAACCAAAATTGCTGGCACATGACTTATAATTACACCCAGAGCTTCCTCCTCCCCACAGCTTTCACACATTGAATTGTGTCTCCCAAAGAGCCACCTTGAAGTTAGCCTGTGAATGTGACCTTATTTGGAAATACTATCTTTGCTGATATAATCAAATTCAGATGTGATTACACTGAGGTACAGCAGGCCCTGAATTCAGTATGACTGGTGTCCTCCTAAGAAAAGGACAGAGAGACAGTGAAAGTGAATGCATCAGGGGAACATCTAACTAGGGAGACAGAGGTTGATGTGTTGCCATTGCAAGTCAAGGAACACCAAGCATTCCCAACAACCACCAGAAGCTAGAAAGGAGCAGGATCCTCTATGAGTTTCAGAGAAACATCGCCCTTCTGATAGTTTGATTTTTCTTTTTTGCATTTTTTATATTAGTACATGTTTGCAGTACATACTGTTTACATTCCTTCTGTTGAGTTGATTTTAGACTTCTAGCTTCCAGAACTGAGACAATAAATTCAAGCCATCAGTTGGCATTATTTTGTTACAGCAGCCCTCAAAACCTACTACAGACTTCCCTGAATGCATTTGGGGCCTGTGATTGCTTCTAGCCAGTGGGATATGGCAAAGATAATGGGATATCACTTCATGATTACATGACCTCACGTAAGACTCTTGCCTTTTTAGTAGCCTCATTCTGTAGATTCCCTTTCCCATGCCTGCTGTGAGGAAGCAAGCTGCTATGAGTCCTATATCCACAAGGAACTGAATTCTGCCAACAAACACATGATCCAGGAGGAGGATCCTTTTCTATCCAGCCCTTCAGATGAGATGACAGCCTGGCTAATACATTAACAGCAGTCTTGTAAGAGAGTAAGCAGATGATCCAGCTAGGCTGTACTTAGACTTCTGACTTGGAAGCTGTGAGATAACAAAAACTGTGTGCTATTTTAATCTGCTAAATTTAAGTAACTTGTTACACAGCATAGAAAACTAATATATACAAAGGGGGGGCATAGCAGTCTGACGTGCATTCACTCTGGGCCAGAAACTGTTGACAGCCCACTCTTAATGGATGCATCTGAGGCTCCCACCACAAGGGGCTCTTGCAGTTCTCTTGGTATGAGTATATGCATCTTTTTTATCGGGCAGTTTCTTGCAACTCCTTCTTTAGCTCCTTAGGTTCCCAGTGTTTATCTTCTGACTCTTACTACTAAGGTCTCTGTCCCTCAAAGGATCTTACTGACTAGGACTCAGGCCAACCTCATGCTTATGGCTTCCCCTGGTTATCAGCAAACAGTCACATTTTCTTTGGCCCAACTAACTCAGGAAGTGCAGGCAGCTCCTTTAACCTGTGATTTGTTGAATAGCGACACAAGGCCAACCCAAGACACCACATCAGGCTCATCCAAAATCCTGCTGAAGCTTCTCGCTTTTTCCTGAGGTGAAGGAGTGAGAGTGGGTGACAGTGATTGCAAGCAACAGTTCAAACCAACTCCTTTACCAATCATCTTTTTCACATTCTCTAAAATTTGTTTACCCTTACTGCTGTTTAAGAGATTAAGACTCATGGAACTGATCATTGAGCACTTCCTTTGTAAATTCTGTGCACAGGGATTTGTCTCACAGTCATGGTCTGTGATATGATTCTACGGCAATGCTATGGAATGTTGGCAAGAAAAGTACTACTATAACAACCTATCACATATGGTATTCACAAGTCATAAAAAGTATAATTTAATGAGTTTAATTTAATGCTAACATTACTATTCATTTCTAGTTGACAGATAAGAAAATCACTAATATTTACATTTTAAGACAACTATCAAGCTGTTAATCTCTATTTGAAAAAAAATAATTAATAATAACACCCTCAATTAAATTTATATATATATACAGTGCAAACAGAAATATAGGAGGGATCCCTGGTACCAGAAAAAAAAATTTTTTAATGTAAAAGAAATATAGGGGCCAGGGATTTAGCTCAGTGGCACCACCACCTGCCTTGCAAGCACAAGGTCCTGAGTTCGATCCCCACTACCACAAAAAAATGAAAAAAGAAAGAAATATAGGATACAGAAGCCAAGAAATCAAACCATGGTGCATTATATAAAAGCTCCAACTGAGCCCGCTTCACAAAGACAGGTCTGTGCACACCCTACCGAGGTCCTGAGTCACGTGGAAGACGCCGAATCATCCCGCTGCAGACAGGCAGGTCTGCCTATGTCCTACCGAGGTCCTGAGTCACACAAAACACACCGAATCAGCCTGCTGCAGAGAGGCAGGTCTGTGCACGCCCTACCGAGGTCCTGAATCGAACAGAACATGCCAAATCAGCCCGCTGCAGACAGGCAGGTCTGCCCATGCCCTACCAAGGTCCCCAGTCATGCAAAATATGGCGAATCAGCCCGCTGCACACAGGAAGGTCTGTGCACGCCCCACCGAGGTCCTGAGTCACGCGGAAGACACCAAATCACCCCACTGCAGACAGGCAGCCACCTGATTCCACATTACCAAGGCGCAGAGGACACCAGAGCACCAGACCAAGGTACTGAGTTCCACTGTTCCCGGCTCAGAGGTAGGGGCTTCTGAGCCATCGTCCCACTGCTCCTGGTCCAGAGGAAGGGGCTTCCCGGTCACCATCCCTCCCGCTGCTCCCAGCCCAGAGGAAAGGGCTTTTGGG